GGGTTTCTCCTGATTCCAGAAGGGTTTCTCCTGATTCCTGAGGAGTTTCTCCTGATTCCAGAAGGGTTTCTCCTGATTCCGAAGGGTTTCTCCCAATTCCTGAAGGGTTTCTCGTGATTCCTGGATGGTTTCTCCTGATTCCTGAGGGGTTTCTCCTGATTCCTGAAAGGTTTCTCCTGATTCCAGAAGGGTTTCTCCTGGTTCCAGAAGGGTTTCTCCTGATTCCAGAAGGGTTTCTCCTGATTCCAGAAGGGTTTCCCCTGATTCCAGAAGGGTTTCTCCTGGTTCCAGAAGGGTTTCTCCTGATTCCTGAGGAGTTTCTCCTGATTCCAGAAGGGTTTCCCCTGATTCCAGAAGGGTTTCTCCCAATTCCAGAAGGGTTTCTCCCAATTCCAGAAGGGTTTGTGCTGGGAGCTTCCAGGGAATGGGTCCTCACCTGGATCCGTGGGAGGTTCCTCACCTGGACTCCACCTCCAGGGCCAGGGAATTGCTCACCACCCTCTGCTGGCTGAGTGTGGAGTGGAAATGTTTGCTTTCAGTTGGTTTTGGGTGTGTTTCCCCCTCTCTGGGGCAGGTGCTGGTGAGGTGGAAGCAGAGCTGGAGCTGGGATGGAGCTGGGAAAGCAGAGCTTGGTGGGAATGAGGAGCCTGGAATGGCCTGGCTGGAATGGGAGATGATTTTGGGCACCAATTCCTCACTCCACCTCCTCCAGATTTCTAGCTGCAGCAGAAGGGATGTTTGGGGTTCCTTTTGGAACCCAAATCCAGCTGGATTTTTTTTTTCTTTTGTTTTTTTGTTGGGGAAACCTGATCCTAAATCTTTCCAAATCTCTTTTTCCTGCCTCTCTCTTGGCCACCTCCCTTCCTCGAGGACCTCCTGCAGCAAACACTCGGTTCAATGTGTCTAAAACCAAGCATTAGTGGGTAAAGAGCTTTGCTGAGAGCCACTTTTCCCCCTGGAGATCTTTATCCCAGGCTCCTGGAGCTCCATGGTGTTTTTAAGGTGAAGGTTGAGTAATTTATAACTTCCTTAGCTGCAAATTCCCCCTCATGTTCCAGGTGAGGAGAGTAATGTTTAACTGGGATCCCAATTCCACCCTGACTCGAGTGCAGGCATAAAAATGCAGATGGGAATAACCTAAAAAAATCCCTGCAAAATCAAAATTCAGCTCTTCAACCCCATCCCACTGCCTGGGAGCCCGAGGCAGTGATTTGAAATGAAGGGATTTTGCTCACGGGGAGGATTCCAGGCTCTTTCCTGCTGTTCAGAAGTGGTTCAGCTCCAAAGAATTCCCCAGGAATTCTTCTGGGGAAGGGTGGGCGCAGGATCTCAGCAGGTGGGTGATGCTGGTGCTCCGTGGAGATTTGCTGCCAGGTTTTGAGGTTGCAGCAAAAAAACAACAAAAAAAATTCCCATCTGACTTTGGAGCAGGCACAGAACTGGGAGCTGAGGTCTCCGCTTGGATGAAGGATCTGTGATGCTTTCACGAATAAGATAGAATTAGATATATAAGTAGATAAAAAACCCAACATTTTAAAGGTTTGAAAGCCCATGACTTTGGATTTCTGTGGTGCTGGCTGGCTCTGCTGTAGGAACTCTCAGTGAGAGCTGCCCTGAGCTCGCCAGGAGAAATCTGGTGCCAAAACTACTCCTGGAACCCTTGGGAGGGGACAAAAACTCTGCAGCTGCAGGGGCTCTGCTGGGGGCACCTGAGCACGAGGATTTTTTTGGATAGACCCAAGGAAATTCCTTCTCTCTCCATTACCCAGCCCTTCCTGCTCAGAGGAATTTGCCCTCAAGCGAAATATTGTCATTGCCAAGGTAGCACTTGTCAGGTTCTCTGATTAGTAATTTATTTTATTTAATATTTTGTTGAAATCTTCTTGTTGAAATCTTCTTGTTGAAATCTTCGTGCTTTGACACAGGTGTTTTTTGGTTGGTTTTTTTTTGTGATTAGTTGAGTTCTTTACCCCCATAGGATTTATTCCTTGGTTGGTGGGAAGTTCTTTGTCCTGGCTGTTTCCTAGCTGCTCCATTTGGGGAAGAGGAATATATTCCCCCCAAGGTTTGGTGATGGAGAAATTCCCAGGAAAACTGCTTTGCTCTTCCCCCGGGGTGAAATGGAAGAGGGAAATCAATGGAGTGGTGAGGCCACGGTGAAATCCCAGGGGTGGAATCTCAGCAGGGGCCGGGAGGGACCCACAGGAGGGTTTGGGGCAGGACCTGGGTGGGATCAGCATCTCCAGGTGAGACATCCCTGGCTCTGCACCCCTGGGTGGGGCTGGAAGTGCCCTTGGGTG